ATGGGTGAGGAGGCATCCTTGAATTTCGTCCGGAACTCATGAGAGCCCGCATATGACCATTGAATCGGTCGGATAACTCCAGAAGGGTTGTGCGGATCCCGGTTCGACTACCCTTAGCTGCAGGATCTCGTTAATGTAAGCCTCGAATATTAACCGTCGATTACTAAAAGGGTTGTGGAAAAGATCAAGGGCAACATCATAATTAGCATTAGACTTCCGCAGACATGAGCACCTGAGCTTCTCCATCTCGATCAAGTGAGGATGGCGGTCAATCTTCGTCTTAAACAGCAAATCGGTCACACAGACGCTTCCCCATTGACTCGAGGATCATAATGGTTGAGTCCTCGGTCCGCTTTGCAGCCTTTACCTTCTGATGCAGGACCTCCATTTCGTAACAAATCACCTTTGCTCGTCTCCGCAGCATTCTCTCCAGTTTCCATTATGTAGTTTAAGTGCACGGTTATTACAACAAAATCAACAAGCACTTTTAAACTGATCACAATAATCAAAGCGGGGTGCGATCACGTCGAGGTCAACAAAATGTTCAGCAACTAAGAGTTTTTAATTGCTATTGAATAAATAAAAGCAGTTTAATATACAAATTTCAAATCAAACCAAATCAACTCAGCAACAAAACCACGCCGAATGCCAGAAGTAGGAGCCTAACAACAAAAGCTTTGAGCTACAGCAAGCCGCTGCTCATCCGTCTTTGCTCTGGCTGCTTGGCCCAAGGTATCTTATAGTAAATATTTTTTCCTGTAGACGTGATTAAACGTAAATAACAACAAAAATCGAATCGGTATACTACACTCTGTGGCACACACACGGTTTGCCGGCGGCATATCCGCGGTTGCAATAATTGCCTATGATATGATTTAATCAGAGTTAAAACAAAATGAAAATACCGACAATATAAAAACGTTTCCAATGTTTAACTTAATAAAAAGAATAAAATGATTATGTACTGCTGTATCAGCCTCTGACGTGTCTGCTAGTGTAGCAATGCCGATTTATATAAAAAAACCTAAAATAACAGCTGCGACAAGTAAAATTTCGAGCAACCAAAATAACAAAGAAACGATAAATGATAAGAGGTGTAGAATGCACCCAAAAAAAAGCTGCTTAATGGACTGTGTGTGCAACCGCACTTGAGTAGGCTCAGGCCAAAACGGAACAAAACGGACCACAGCGCAGAAACAGAAAATAAAATGCACGGAATCTAAAAGTAAGCAAACAAAAAAACAAAATCCTTAACAAAGCGTGCATTAAAACTTAAATGCAATGAAAAAATTACATGCAAATTTATCAGCAGATTCGAAGAAAAAACGACAAACATAAGATATGACAGCCTTTTGGAATATTTGAATTTCGTAAATTCGATTCTTGATTGGCTAGTATCGATGCTGATGCCAATTGGATTGGAGTTTACCAATTCCTGGTGTTCAAAGTGTTGGCCCTGCCTTGAGATCACTTTTTTAATCAAAAAAATCTTATGATTCATAAAAAATAAAATGAAACCATTTAAAGTTATATACAAACAAAGTTAATAGAAAAGTAAATACAAAAAACTGCCAGTTTCACACCATTAAACGGGCATCACACGACATTTTCATCAACGATTGTAACAGGTATGGCCCTGGCTAAGGTGACAGGTGGCCCTGGAGTACAACAAACTGGCGATGGACTCCAGCGGAACTTACGCTGCCTTGAAAGAGTATTTGTCAGGCAAAAAATATTTGACCAAATCGACGAAAGGAGCGCTTATGTCTGGAGCGAAATAAAGACGATCAAAATAATTAAGATTAGCAACATATTCCTCACCAATTGCTATGGCACAGTCACAGCCGACTTAAAGGAGTTAAACAAAGCTGGATCATTTATTGTGCAGTTCGATAACGAGTCGGTCAGGATAGGCGACCGATATTATAGCAGCTTATCGGCGACACACCTCGTAGCCAAGCCGGCAGTCCTCTCTCACCAATCTGCGGAATTTATGAACGGTGTCCCGCATGGCCCATAATGACACCTACTCCCTGGTGTATTTTTATTTCGAAAGATAATTTTGTGGCATAACATTTTAAATATGATTTCTGGCATATGACCGCCAGGGCTGGTTCGGATGTAGTCCAATCTGGACGTCCAATTTTCGATGACTTTTTCCAACATTTGTAGACGTATATTGGCAATAACATGGCAAATGTTGTCTTCCGAATGGTCTTTACATAGCCACAGAAAGAAGTCTAGCGGTGTTAAATCACAAGATCTTGGAGGCCAATGCGAAAACGTTCCATGCTTAATAGAATTAACTGCTCTAATGGACATTGTTGACGACGATAAAATGGTCGTAGTGCGCGATACGTATTCCGAAAAGAACAATTATTTTCGAAATAAAATTGCACTATTTGCAAGCGTTGCTCAGGCGTGAGTCGATGAATTGTCAAACCAAACTGAGAATAAATCACTTGACAGCTGTTAAATCAATAGCTATCTTGAACAGCAATGCCAACTTAAAGTACCTCTATAAAAAACCTTTTATGATTTATGAAAATTAATTAAACAGGAAAGGTGATATTGAAAAAAAATATAATATATTATTAATTTTTTATTTTTTAGGTATCTAGGATTTTATACCCGTTACTCGTCGAGTAAAAGGGTATACTAGATTCGTTGAAAAGTATGTAACAGATAGAAGAAAGCGATTCCGACCCTATAAAGTATATATATTCTTGATCAGGATCAATAGCGAAGTCGATTGAGCCATATCCGTCTGTCGTCCGACTCAGAAACTATAAGAGCAAAAAGTTGAGACGGACAGACAGACGGACACCAATCGTCTTCGCTATTCATCCTGATTCATTGAAATTTATGGGTCTATTGAATGTTATTTATTGCTTAATTGGACCATTATATTTTCTTCTACTGTATTTTCATTGCCGGGAATAATATTTCTTTTGTTATCGGAAATATTGATATCTGGTTGAATTTCTATATGAGTTTGCCATGGTTTGAATATTAAAAATGTTCTGTATTTGATTATAACTATAATAATTAATTAAATCAATGTAAGTATAATTAATATTAACGTAACTGGTATTTGAGTTTGTTTGATTTGAATAAAATGATTTATTATGTTAATATTATCGAATGAGAGTTCCGAATCATTTGATATAATATATTCGGATTCAAAAAAATCTGTATATTTTTTAGCAGTGATGTATTCCATTATCTTATTGTCTACGAGGTGTGTTCAAAAAGTAAGGTGACTCTTCAAATTTCGCGAATTTCAAATTTTTCGATTATCGAAACCTTTTAGAAGTTATACGAGGTGTGTTCAAAAAGTAAGGTGACTTTTCAAATTTCAAATTTTTCAAATTTTTCGATTATCTTCAGTTTTGGGAACAAGAAAAAGTCACATGGGGCCAAATCCGGTGAATATGGTGGCTGAGGCATTATTGTGGTGTTGTTTTTGGCCAAAAAATCCAAATCCTTTGATCCATATTTTTCGATAGCAAAAAATCGCCGAGCTCGCAAAACAACTTGTAACTTTACGCCTCTCACAACCAAACAAAAGAGGATGTTCCATTGAAACTTGGTACAGATGTTAGGGAAGAGTGTACCAATATAACAAAACAAAAAAATCGATAATCGAAAAATTTGAAATTCGCGAAATTTGAAGAGTCACCTTACTTTTTGAACACACCTCGTACATTGGTGTAGGGTATATTATTAATTTTAGAGGTGCCTTTAAAAGTTATTAAATATGGCCCCTTTAAATTAAAGATGGGGAACTATCGATAGTTGACGCCATCAGTAGTAGTAAAATGCTGTGAAGTTGTTTATCCTAATTAAGTGTCACTTTGTAAACATCTTTTGGGAGAATGTTACGGCATCAGTTATGCAAGTTACCTTAACAAAAAAATGTGTTTATTTTATTGTTTCTTTATTTCAGTGTTTTTGTTTTTGTGTCTTGTTTTTATTTTTCAATGTGTGATGAAATTATTAATTATTTGTCCGAAAGCAGTTATCTGAGGTCATATTTTCTGACTCATCAATCTGTTATAAGGTTATATAGTCTAAAGTAGTTTTTGTATTTTTTATTTTCTTCTCTTTCTTTGTTCTAAACTATAATTTATGTTCATAATGTTTGCTGCCTCCCTTGTTTATTAAAATTTCGGAGTTTTTGGTCCCCCACACTCCATAAACAGTTTAAGATTCTGGCACAGAAATTATAACAATGGTTCAAAGTGTTATTGTTTATTAAAATGTTAGAGTTTGTGGTCACAAAAACCCCTCCCCCTCTCCTTTTTCCCTCCTCCATGTCTGTCAGTGGGTCAGTCTGTCTCTTTGTCATTACGATTTCCCTCACCACCCGCAGGTCCCTTTAATCAGAATGGATTCTGATAGAAGTTGCTTATCCTAATAAAGTGTCACTTCACACTCATGCATCTGATTTGTAAACATCTTGTAGGAACATGTTACGGCATACGTTGTGCACGCGCCGAATGTGACAGAAATTTGTTTTGCCACAGAAATAATGAACCCATGATTTTTTATTATATTTTATTATATTTGAAAGAGATTCTTTATCTTATCCTTCAACTACATTAGGTGTATTTATCTTTTTCCTGATCGCGTTTTTTAAAGCAGTTCTTCTCGAAGTGATAATTCAGTTGTTACACACAACCCACCCCCCTCCCTTTTTGCTCGTATAATTATCAAACAAACCCTTGAATGACCCCACTGTATAAGACAACTTGTAGGTTCAACTATTTATTTATTACCGAAGCTTCAACATACGGTATAGTTTTATAATATAAATCGTAATTTGAGTTTTCCAAATAAATAAATTGTAAAATAAATTGTAAATAAACTTTTTGTTTATTCCTGACTTAGGAGGATTGGGAACGTCTTGGGAAAGTTATACCCTTTATGTATAAAAGTGAGAACAGTCAAATTGTTCAGCATCAGTTCGTCAGGAGAACCAAATCATACATATCACCATGAGCGTAATATCCGTGGAATTCATCGATTCTGTTCAGGCTTTGACGGATGTCGAAATCCTTGACCAAGACTCCCATGTGGTGGTCATTGAAGACTCGGAGCCAAACTATATAATGGTTCTAGACGAAGAAGACACCATAGACAGCAACCCGAAGGAAATATTCTCACCCACCTCAACATCTACTCAAACGATTCCACAAAAGTTGGAATCACTTAAATGGGAAGATTTCCCATTTAGAGATGAAACGATGGATGTATTTGAAAATGAGTTTTTGTAAGATCACTTTTAATGTTCTCAAAGGATTTATAAAGATGTCCCGGAAGAAATTGTTTTTCCAGACGACGACTACCTCTTTGACGATGTAAAGCGGATGACTTAGAAAATAAGTATCTAAATTAACTGAAAGATGAAGACGATAAGTTTTTAATAAATGTTGCCAATAGTATAGATATTTAAATAAAAATTGTATAAAAATAAAATAAAATAAAATAAAAATATTTAAAATTCAAATATAAAAATCTATTTTTTTTGCTCCAATGTTAACTGAAATAAATAAAACCGTTAGTTACTTTATCAAAAAAATATGATTATTTTATTCAAAAAATATAATTCAGTATGTATGAACTTTGGATGCCAGCGCATCTTCTAGTGGTACTATTATCCGGCCACACCCACCCATACGCCCGCCAAGCTCAAAAGACGGTTTTCGCATTTTCAAGAAAACCTGATATCTCTGATATCTGATATGATGTAGGTTTTTATGATGCCCCGTTGCGAATTGTTTTTTTCCAATCTAGCCACATCCACCCTAACGCCCACAAAACCCGAAAAACCAAGAATGCAAATAACTCGGGAACTAAAATAGCTAGAAAGTTAGGCTTAGGAATACGTATTTTAGAGATGTCACTGCAACTCGACACAAGTTTTCATCTCGCCCCGCCCACAAAAGGTGGAAAACTGTGGCGTCTATAATAATATTATGAATGCCTTCATTAGACCTTGTTAACTTATTTCTGTTAATATCTATCGATTTATCAAAGATTTTTCAAATCGGAACATTATTTTGCTACTTATGAAGAAAGTTAGGTTATAAGGCCTCACATGGTTTTTGACGTCACTATCAATTACTCAGCATGCTTTCTCCGACAATAGGTGGCGCTTAGGGAAATTTCCACTAAAAAAATTAATGTTTTAAAATTCTGTAAAACAGTAAAGGGTATCTTATAGTCGTGGCACCCGACTACAGCGTTTCCTCTTGTTATGTTTTTGTGTCTTGTTTATAGTTTTCAATATATGAAGAAAATATTAATTATTTGTCTAAAATCTGTTATAAGGTTATATAGTCTGAAGTACTTTTTTTATTTTTTATTTTCTTCTTATTCTTTTTTTGTGGACTATAATATTAGGTTGTCAAAAAAGTCTTGCGGTATAAAATTGGTTACAATGAATGAATTTGAATGAATCGCATGTTCATGTCAAATAGGCGCCGTTTTGTTCGATGACGCGATCCCAACGAGATGCCATCTTCATAATGCCCCTCTCATAGAAGCTCGCTTCCGTATTGGCAAAAAACTCGTATCGTGGCGCATCTTCGACCACCTCAACACCAGAACGTAAACGTTGATACCATCGTTGTGCGGTGGAAATGGAAACTGTATCGGGTCCATAAACTGCACAAATTTTATTGGCGGCTTGAGGTGCATTTATGCCTTTATCGTAGTAGTACTGTAAAATATGCCGTATTTTCTCTTTATTTTGCTCCATCATTGCGACGCTATAACTCACTAACGAATTTTCAAAAAGGTGTAGTATGACCTGATGCGACGAATAAAACAAGAACTACGCGCTTTCAGCGCCAACTAGCGAAAATACCGCAAGACTTTTTTGACAACCTAATATATTATATGTTCATAAAGCTGCCTACCTTTCGTACTCAAATTTTTTATGACATCCACAAGTGTCGATTCCTTCAGTATCTGAGTCCTTACTCCAGATACATTTTTCCAGGTGTACGCCATGGATGGAAGTTATAATTTTAACTTCTTCACACTCAAGTAGTTTTGAATTAATAAGGAGAAGTCGCAGATAGTGAGAATTTTGTACAACTCCATCAAACTGTTTGAGAAACAATTTAATTTGATTCGAATACATAGTGTACATCCAAGACTTTAAGTTTTAAATATGATTCTCTTTACGGCCTGCTTGCCGAATTTATTCTAAAATTTTCACGTTTTCTTTTTCTTTTCTACCCTGACATACGTGTGCAAGTGATATTTACCTTCCCTTATTCAGAAAAAGTAAGAGAACATTTTTTTTTCATTTCACATAATACTTTTATTTATAAATTATTGATACAATGAAATTATTTCTCCATTCCTTTAATTTACATAGAGGCGGCATGCGCATGTTTCCAGTCTCGGTCGGTGTTACAGAATGTAAAGTGTTCAATTTCTTCAAGAAATTTCATTATTTATTGAAATGGTTTTCGAGAAACAGGTCTTGTCACAAGTGGTCCCAGCTTCAAAATGATATGAATGCAAGTAGATGTGCTTTGTTTATTTTGAATTAGATTTAAAAAAAATCTAAAATGTTGTAAGCATTGGTTAGAGCACAAACACCACCTTTAACATGATTAAATGTAAACAAATCACCTTAAACCAATGTACAAAAGCCTATAAGTTGCACTCAAGCTTGAGCATAGCCGAGTTGTTGTGAACTAACTGATAAGCTTTTCTGTTCGTGGCTATGCGAAATGTTATGCTGCTCTCGGGAGAACATTAACCGATCGAACCTCGAAGCAGCTGGCATCAATAAACTTTGGAGTCAACTTCGTATCGTTTGTTTCGCTTTTTGGAAATTCCCCAGCCGCTAGTCGCAAGTCTTTTTTTTGCTTAAATTTTATAAGTAATTTTTCCGGGAAAACTCTCCCGGATTTTCATGGCGCCCGAACAGGGACTACGGCTAGTTTGTTATTAATTTTCGCGTCGGAAAAAACAAACAAAAACAGTGCACCTCTCGTCGTCTCGGCATCTGTTTAGTTTTTTTAAATTTGTTGGCGAAAATTCTAGCTGGTGGAATTCGGCGAAGCAGTGAAGTGTTGGCGAAAGCAGTTGGATACGGAAGGAAAGTGCTTGGAAAATTATGACTAACAACAACCAGAAATATTATTACACCCCAAATATACCCAAACATCCGAATAATAAAATAAAAAAGTGAACTGCCTTTGACAAAACTTACGGTGTTTTAAATTTTGCGAGAATTTGAAAATTTTATGTGCGTTATATACATACGGTGCAACTGCAAAAGTACAGCTATATCTACATACATATGTACAAACATACCAGCGTTTCGCCGCCAATTTCGATTCCCTTTTGTGCATTTGCAGAGCAGTTATTTGTCTGCTATATATAAGTGTCAGTGGCTTCTATGCTGTAAATATGTATGTACATATGTAAAACAACACTTCGGTTAATTTTTAGCGCCAATTGCAGCGGCAGTGGTTTTCAAACTGTATATAGCCAACAGTGCCTACAAAACTCGGCAGTGAATTTAAGCCCTGCTCACAGTTTTATGTTTATATGTACATATTTGCCTGGATATTAATTCGGTGTATATTCAAAGATTCGGCCTGGAGAAAAAGTTTAATTTGTTGGTTTTTTTTGTCGGTGTTTGTGGGCATCTTTAACCCGTATGGGATCCACTTAAATAGTTTGGACAATTTATTTGTCAAATGAAATTCAACATTTGTGCATTTTTCGGCTTTGGTTAAACGGCAAACACACATACATGCGTATTTTGTGCATTTTGGTGGTGCTTCTGTGCACATTTAACCCTTATCCAACCTAATAAATTTTTTTTTGGAGAAATTAAATTGTTTAATTTTTAAAATTTAAAATTTAGATATTGTTGGAATTTATTAAGGAAGCATTTTAAGCATTTTGAGAATAAATTTATCCCTTGTGTCCGACTGTTTTCAGTATTTCATTTTTTTTATATTAACCTAAAATGTCTGAGAAAGAAAAGGAATCATCGTCAAAGCCTAGTGCTAAACTAATAGTGGCTATGCAAAAACACGACAGGGTAATGAGTGACATTCAACGTATAAGAACGTCATTCGAGGAAAAAATCATTTCATTCGATAGGTTTCAAATGGAATACCGAATGCAACTTCTCGAAACATATTGCGAGAAATTGATGGATATTCAAGGAGATATCGATGTGCTAAATCCAGTGAATGATTTAAGAGCGTCTGTTGAGGAGATGTGCATAATTACAAAAGCGTTATATCGGTCCGCAATGAGAGAATGCGAGCCTCAGAGACTTAGACAAAGTGATATAGGTGGTTATCGTCATTCGTCTCAGTTACCAAAAATGAATCTACCGAAATTTAGTGGAAAACATTCCGACTACAAAAATTTTATAAGTCTTTTTGAGAGTTTAGTTCACAACGACCCATCTCTAACAAACATAGAGAAATTTAACCATTGGCTAACATGTCTAACAGATGATGCATTAGGTACTGTGAAAGCTTTTCAAATTTCGGATTTAAATTATGAGAAGGCATTGGCTAGTCTAAAAAACGTGTACGATAATAAATGTTTGATCTTTTTTGACACGATTTCTCAGCTGTTTAACCTCCCGCAAGTATCAAAACCCTCTGCATCAGGCTTGAGGTCTCTTATAGACGAAATATCGGCCCTCTACGCATCGTTACAGTCCTTGGGTAGTGAAAAGGAAATAAACAACGCAATTTTTATTCACATAGCAATGTCCAAAGTAGTTCACACAACAAAATCCAGATTTGAGGAACAGCTAGACTATAATACGTCTGATTGTGCGACTCTGTTGAATCGGCGATATCAACATTTAGCTGCTGAAGAGTCAACCAAAAGTAAAGGGAAGCCTAACCAAGGTTCCAATAGAGGATTTTCCAAATCTTCCTTCTCATGCCCACAAACAGATCGCAGACCTGAATCAAAATGTCGATATTGCTCAGCGACAAACCATAGTTTAGGCAGTTGTCAACCTTTCATGGCTTTATCAGTGATCCAACGGTTCGATTTTACGAAACACAATCGGTTGTGTATTAATTGTCTGAATCCAGGTCATCCAGTCAAGAAGTGCAAAGCAGTAAAGTGTCGCGTTTGCTCCAAACCTCATAACACACTTCTTCACAGATACGGGGTAGAGCAGCAACCAACTTCTTCGGGGTCACTTCCTCAAGCGCAAGCCCAAGCACCTTCAGTAGCATTTGATCATCCCAATCAAGCCCATTCTTGTCATGTTGCAAGTAGTGAGCAAGTTATTCTTGCTACGGCTGTCGTTAAGGTACGGGATAGATTTGGACAGTTTCAATTAGCACGAGCTCTGTTAGACTCAGGGTCTCAAATAAACTTTATGGCCGAGGACTTAGCACAGCGTTTGCGGTTACACAGGAAAAAATCCTATTTAAATATCACTACTGTACGGAAGAACGACTCGGTAGTACGGCACAAAGTCCACGCGTCGATTCATTCTCGCGTCAATGCTCATAGTTTCGCTACTGATTTTTGGGTATTAAGCTCCATTTCATCATATCAACCAGATAACGAAGTCAATTGTGCACAGTGGAAAATTCCAGCAAATATTGAATTAGCAGACCCTCGTTTTCACAAGCCTGCAAAAGTAGACTTACTAATTGGGGCAGAATCCTAGAAGGCGTAACACTTCTATTAATCCGAGTTGGGGAAGGTTGTTAAATGCACAAATTCCGTATGATGTCAAATTTCTAATATTACTGTCCTCAAAATCATTTTATGTGTCACTAAAGATCCGCGGTAAACCTCCTATCAAGACTTATGTTGCCGTTTTCGTGTGTTTTTCGTCAAAGGCTGTTCACCTTGAGCTCGTTGTAGATTTATCCACTGGCAGCTTCTTATCCGTTTTTAAAAGGTTCGTCGGGAGGAGAGGGCTGCGGCAGAAGATTTACAGCGACAACGCCACGAACTTCGTGGGAGCGAGCAACGTGCTCAAGGATCTGAGCGCAGCGTTTCACCGCAGTCAGGAAAAGTTGAGAGGATACGCGGCTCAGAGAGGCGTAGAGTGTTATTTCATACCGCCGAGGTCACCACACTTCGGAGGACTGTGGGAGGCAGCAGTCAAGGCCGCCAAACACCGGCTGCTGCGAGGAGTCGGCAACGCCAAGCTGACAGCGGACGAGCTCAGCACCCACCTGGTCGAGGTAGAAGCGCTGCTCAATTCTCGACCAATCGCGTCGACAGGCAACGATCCCAACGATAGAGAGGCCCTGACTCCAGGACATCTGCTTATCGGCCAGCCTCTGATCACGCTGCCGCAAGAGTCCGGCACAGGCGGAATCTCCAACAAGGCCAGTTGCGGATATTTGAGGCGATGGCGAATGCTGTCCGATCTCAAGCAGTAGTTTTGGGCCAGCTGGTCCAAGAACTACATCGCCAGCCTGCAGCATCGCAACAAGTGGTGCGTCGAGGGCCGCGATCTGGAGGTCGGGTGCCTGGTGCTCGTGCACGAGAACAACATGACCCCCCAAAGGTGGCTTACAGGCCGCGTGGTGGCAACAACAGTCGGTGAGGACGGAAGAGTGCGTGTGGCGGAGGTACGGACGTCAGGAGGCGTCATCAAGCGCGCCATCCACAAGCTGGCATTGCTGCCAGTAAGCAACGCTCCTAACGAGGAGGTTAAAACCTTGAAACCTTGAATATAAATTGATACAATATCTTTAATCATTTTTAAAAATACCAAACAACTCGTTGTACTAATCCGTTATAATTCGGTTATATTCGACTAGTCGATCGTGTATGAGTAGGCAATAAGCTTGGGTATTTTCGTTACTTGGTGTCTTCAGTTCAGTTGAAATTGTCACGTCAGTAGGACCAGATTTTACTGTTTCATTTTGATATGATAGATCAGTTACGATAATTGAAGCTTTCATTTTGAATTCCGTTGGTATTAAAAATGGCTGTGACTCACGATTGTAATTGATTGAAATCTTGAATACATGTCATATATGTGAGCAAGCTGATTCTTATTGAAATCAACACTTAAATTATCATAAGGGTATGAGTCAGAATTTAAATGAACCTTCAAGTTTGATAAATTAATTGTGACAAGTTTGCCGTTCAGTGCAAATCCGATTTTGATTACTTTGAAGGTTATCAAGTGATAAAAAATGTTTAAGTGTATTTGTCATACCAACAAATCGAGTCTATCAATCTCGCATCCATTTATTGCGTTCTTGATTTCATCCAAGATGTAAGCCATACAATTATTTTTAAAAAATGTTGTAACATTATCAGTTGTAGAATCGACTGTTGTATCTTTTCTAATAATTCCTTGAAAGTTGAGGTAACTTTCATGAGGGAGCACATACAAGTCTTGATTTTGAATAGTAATTCGAAGTTCATCGTTTGATTTAAGTGTTTGATTATACGACGAATAGGTATGAAACTCTTTTGTCGAAATACTCTCATCCGAGTAAACTTTTTCTCGAATATTTAAAACTTCATTCATTGTTTTCTTCCAGTATATTTTTATTAAGTTTTAATTTTGAAGCCTAGAGACTTTAAAAATAATTTATTTTTTAAAGTTAGTTAGCTTCTTTTTAGAGTTGATCCTCTTTCTATTGCTTTACAATTAGTAATGCTTTGTTGAGTGTATAAACCAGGACTTTTATTATAAATAATCATTCTATTATGCGAATATGCATCCGAATTGATACATTTTCACCACGTAAATTTACTAAATCTCCGTTCTGATCTACTATGCGTATGGAGAGTGTGCTTATTTCATCACAGTTGATTGGCAAGTAAATAAGATTATGTGGTATCACATTCATTTTATAGCCAGGAGGAACATTAATACCGAATTCGTGTTACGTATGATTGGGTGTATTGTCTACATATGAACCACTAATGATGTTACATTCCAAACGAATAGTATTAATTTTTAAAATATTGACAGTCTGATCTGATAGATATGTTTTTGTTAGGTGTGGCTGTATAACTCTTTTATCAAAACCAAAAAGTTGACCAATTAATCGTTCCTTATTAAAGTAAACCGGCTCTCGAGTGCTGGTTATTTCTAGTTGAAGAGTATTGTTATTGCTTTCAATTTTAATTAAATTTTAAAATGTTTTTCAATACCGTACTCTTTAAGTTTTTTTTTAAATATAATAATATAATCATTTATATCATTAAGTTCAGAGGATTCAGTAGGAATTGTGATTACATTAGTTCCAATATGGAAGGGATTGTTCTTTTTCGTCTATATTTGGGATTGAATTGTACATATTAAAATCAGTTAATGCAAACTCAAAACGTCCATCCAATTCGATTGGTGGAAAGTAGTTTGTATTTATAATAGAACTATTTCCATTCAATGACAAGGTCACTGATCTAGACATAACGAAATCTGTTGTTAAACTGTCAAAATGTTGGTTTTTAGTATATTTTTATACCAAATCTAAGAACTTTTTTAATCAAAATAAACAGATCAAAACTTTTTCTATATCTTCCATTATCCATATCGTTATCTTTACTTATAAGCAAGAATCCAAATTTATCCTCCCAACACTTTTTACAAATTTTACGAATGTGACGTACCCCATACCTGTATTAATATGAATTATATATATATGTCGCATATTTAAATCGTCTTGTTTAAGCATTATAATAAAGTTGGCATTGTCACTAATCAAGTGTTTAGGTATATGGGTATATGTTTGACATAAATAAAAGGATTCGATATTCTTATGACGACAAGCTACATCATCAAATATCATTATAAAGTTATTTTTTGGTTGACTGGGGTCTAATACACCATCGTTATGAGAGAAAGTATGATATCCCATTCCTTTAATAGGTTTTATTAATTTTTCCAAGTACTCATATTTAGGTTTATATAAACTCTTAGAAAACACATAAATATTCTCGAATTTTAATCCTATCAATCTGAGCATAATACTTGTTTTACCACAATTTGAAGGTCCAACAATAAGAGGACTTATTGTATTCGGTAAGAGAGAACGATGTCGTAGAGGTTGTTTTTTTATCGTTTTCATCTTTGATATTTCTAGAGATAATTTTTGTTTTTGACTTATTAAATAATTAATAAATAAACTGAATGAGGCTTTATAGCATATTCCCATAAAATGGATTTACATGAACGTCAAATTGCAGATTCTATATTAATTGATAAAGCTTGGTAACGTTTAAAAGCACCAAACAGCACTCTTGGTGAAAAATCAGCCAATCAGAAAAATAACCAACATTTAAAAACAAAAAAAATTGCACGAAAATCAGTTTAATCGACAATGGGTTCAAAGAAAAACGTGAAAGTACCAAGAATAATTAATATACCAAAAATTGGTGGTTTTTTTACCAATCGGTAAGTTAGGTGGTGGACGTGCAGCCATTTCAAAAACAATAAACAGATAGATAAAATGGCGAAAGAGAATATGAAGGAGAAGAAAGGACATAATAGAAAAATTAAAACTGTTGCTATAGGAAAAGGGTTATATCTCAACCCTTATAAAGCAGGTTATGGATTCTACCTGAAACCATATAGTCAGGGAAATGGTATTAAGAAGCGAAAAAACTAATATAGACATTACAACTTTTTCTCAAAAATGTTTACCAAATTATAGAGGAGTATTGGGAGATTTACTTCCACACTCTCCAAGAATTCGAGAATATGGTATAGTAAACCTAGATGATTCACAATCAAGTGTTACACATTGGGTCGCATATAACAAAAATAAAAACGATATACATTATTTTGATGGTTTCGGAAATCTACAACCACCTAGAGAACTTGTCAAGTATAATACAGTATAATACAATACAATACAACTACGAGAGAGTTCAACATTTTGATAAATACAACTGTGGTCATTTATGTCTTCCATTTCTACTTTCCTTTGTCTATGGAGTGAGTCAATTACCCATCGTTACTTACTTGTATGTGTGACTTCTGAATGGTATACAAATCGGGACTGCTTACTTCAAAATTCACAGTCCAAGTTTCGACTTTACATTCAGCAGATGTTGTACAAGTGAACAAAAATCAACTGATTAACAACAACAAAACCAACTGAATAGCAACAAAAAAAGGGATTAACAACAAAAACAACAGAGAACAACAACAACAACTACTATAAGAACGAGGAGACTACAGAAGTAGAATTCGATCCTCCTGACGAGGATAGTAGGAAGGGACCTGTTAATCCGACAAGTTTGGTTTATGTTTTTAACGACAAGAACGAGGAAAAGATAATGCCGCAGAAACAGAGTTCGTACCAATTGTTAATGATGAAAATAAGTCAAAACGATTAAAGCTTGAGACGGTTAACAATTCAATAGATGTAATATGAAATCTATTTCATCAAAGGCCAGGATGACTGAAAATGTAAAATTCCCCATCCTCAAGGTGGAGTGTAAAAGGACGAAGATTGGAAAATCCCTTATTCTGGAGTTGGAGGCCTCTTTTCTATACACCCCAGAAAGGTATACACATCTTCGGGAGGAATTTATTGCGGAAATGGTTGATGGGAAATAATAATATGCAAAAAAGGGATGATAGTTTATATTAAGAAATAAGTAAATAAAATATAAAAAATAAATAAAAACCTATATTTTAATTACATTAAATCAATAAAATTTTAAAATCTATATAAACAATACATTTTTTTTAGGTGAGGTGATAAAGTTTTGGTAAAATGGCTTGGCTTTTCAATGATAGCCAGCTGGGTAAATAAAGACGAATTTTTATAGTACAAATACCAAATTACATTATTAAATTTAGAAATAAGAACAAAAAATTTTATATTTACATGCGTATAAATGTAGAATTTTATGATATGTATGTAAAGTATTATATTTTTTTATAGAACTTAAAATGTTTATTAAAATGTGTTACTAACTTATGAATGTGTAAGAGCTGCCGGTTCGCTAAAGTTCCTATTATCGGCCCTCCTGACCTTCTTCATCGCAACTAGACGCTGTAATATTAGGCCCTTCAACATCAGCTGCCTTGCGCACGTCATTTCCCATTTCCCTTCGTCTTTGTTATTTCGTATGGACCAAGATACTCGCTTGCCAGCTTACGTCTGGCCACAAAATGTGTTCTCTTAATGGCAACAAGATCTCCAACTTTATATGACTGCTCTAGCCGGCTTTTTGTCGAAATTGCGTTTGTAGACCTGCTGCGAATGCTCTATATTTCGTCTCGCCTCCTCACGTTGCTTTTGACGCTCTTTGTTGAATTGACAGATCAACTCCTTCTCTAACATCTGCAAACATGCTTCAAATGGAGACATTTTAAGAGTTGTATGTACATGTGAGTTGATGGCTTTCTGAACCGCAGCGAAGTGTTTGAACCACTTGGCTGGCTCACTTGTTGACAATTTCGATATGATCGACAAAATTGTACGGTTTACCCGCCTGTTGTCGTCTTTACGTGGTCTACCTTCATCCCGTCCAGGAATTGAAATCCATCCGATGAGTATTCTGCTCCTCTGTCCGTAATGATACGCTTGGGCAGCCCGAACACATTGGACCACTCGTTTAACCTTTTGACCACTTCCCCATGGCCAGTCGACTTATTTAGAAACAGCTATACGAACTTGCTGACAGCTAGTAACTCGCTTCCATTGACATTTTCGAAAAGAACGCCCCCTTTCCGTTTGAATTCTTTATAAGGTCGTTCTTTTACGATTTCTATGATTGACATCATAAAATCATCTTGTTGTTGCGCTTTCCTTATGCGACCTGTCAGTTCGGTGGTGACCACCATACGGAAATTCGCGAAACGATTAATAAAGTCTACATGCTGCATTCTATCCCCAGCGCAATGCTGCAAAGTACAATATCCATATAGCATATCCGCAAATGAATTCCCTGAAGAATCCCGTCAATCCCAATAGCCTCAATGGTGTGGCCCAGAATTTTCAAGCCATACTGCGCCGCATTCTCCAAAACCCGTTCGGTCTTCTGCAAGCATACCTCTGGCGAATCTGATTATATCATCCATGTAAAGCTGCATGTCTCCAGAGTTGATTAGGTTCTGAAATACAAACTGAACAAACCTGATGAAATCAGCTGGCGAATTTTTAAAACCAAAACGACGATTTGCGCACAACTCCGTCATCAATAATCTTGCGCTGCGTAGGGACCTCAACAATCTTCATGGTTAATCTCAACTTTGTTCCTGGGATCTCAGTATTATACGTACAGACGGACGGACAGACAGACGGACATGGCTCATTCGTCTTCGCTATTCATCCTGATCAAGAATATAATTTCTTTATAGGGTCGAAAACGCTTCCTTCTACCTGTTACATACTTTTCAGAGAATCTAGTATACCCTTTTACTCTACGAGTAACGGGTATAAATATTATTTTAGAAACAAATGTTCATAGATTAGGGTATAGCGTAAAAAATCGAATTAAATGTTCACGTGCATTTAAATACACTAAAAATATTTAAAAAATAAATAATGATAATGAAAATCCTACAACATCCACTCCACTTCGTACAAAGACTGGTTTCGATCGAATCAAAACCAAATTATATATATTGGAATGATGTGAATGAACTAGTCGAACGGTTACAAATTTTAGTGGCATCAAAAACAGCGGGTAACAACAATCACAATAATGAGATTTTTTCAATAATAGAGGAACTGCGAGAGGAGGGAATTATTGCTTAGTTCGAGTATATATATTAAACACAAAAAAGATTTTTCTTTATAATCATCATGTCTGTTGACAAGGACATTTTTCTAATGATAGGGAGCGATCAAATCATTTAAAAAGAAGTATTAAATCAATTGAAACTTTTTTAATTGATACTGATGATAATCTAAACGCTCAAAATTAAAGAGTCAAAAACGTCATTAAACCCTTAGATGACAACGACTTAACTACAAATAGGACAAATAGTCGACTGGCAAAAATTCCAAATCTTGAAAATAAAATAGAGTTCTATAACAAGAGAGCAGATAGTACTGATCAAATATTTGAGAAAGCTTTTGAAAAGATAAAAGTTATTGAGGAGTATATTTTTAAGTATGTAAAAAACCGACAGCGATACCAAAAAACACAACAATTGAAATAGAAGGTGTAGCCTTTACACATATTCGAAGAATATATGATAAAACGAGCAATTGTAAACGAGTTGCACGGACCGTCCCGCAAACATTTTCAACGAAGACGGGTCATTATGAAGGGACTTTATCGATACTTATTAAATGTAATTGATACTTTTTCTAAATTTGCTTGGGGTGAAGCACTACAATCAAAAAATGCCAATGATGTTTCCCAAGCAATGAGTGAGTTTAGTTTCAATGGGAAATATAAGTGGATAGATATTTACAAAAATTCTATGTTTGATTACAATAATAGGGTACATAGAACCATAAAAATGAGCCCAATCAATGTCAATACAACTAATGAAAAACAAATATTACAAGACTGTTATAATAACATAAAGATATATGTTGAGAGTAAGCTACGAAATGGCGATCACGTTCGTATCAGCAAGTATAAACATGTGTTTGAAAAAGGGTATACACCAAATTATACAACAGAAATCTTTAAAATTATAGAAGTCAACAATACATTCCCCAAACATTTTTACTTGAAGATTATAAAGGTAATCCGATTCAGGGTGGGTTTTATAAAAAAGAACTCAAAAAGACGGAATTCCCGAACACATTTCTAGTTGAGAAAATTTTAAAGCGAAGAGGTGATAAAGTTTTGGTAAAATGGCTTGGCTTTCCAATGGACGAAGCCAGCTGGGTAAATAAAGATTAAATTTTATAGTACAAATACCAAATTAAAAGAAAATGTAATATTTAATTTTTATTTTTGTTTTATTATTATTTTTCTTTTCTTATTATAACATATAATTAAATTTAATAAATATATTTACATACATATAAATGTACAATTTTATAGTATACTAACAATTTTAATAAAATATATGTTTTTTACAATTTATTTTTGTTTTACTTATATTTACCACAATCTCCATCAAAATAAATCATTTCCAATTCAATTGACTTACAAAATAATTCTTTTTCTATGTTTACTTGCTTATCTCTAAGTTCATTTAATGTATTGACATATGTAATAATTATAATCATCGTGATTTAACATTGTAAACTCTTTTTCATTATGTTTTCGTTTTCTTTTACTATCATTAGCACAAAGCACATTCTTTATACTCTTTTTGTTGATATTTTGTGTGTTCTTGATCTAAACATTGTCCTCCTACCATATAGTGGAGTTCCAGTGAGTAAGACATTTTTATAATGATCCATAGTTAAATTTCTGGAACTTACACCTTTTGCTTTTTTATAAGAGTTTTCAACTTCATCTATTTTATAGCTATAAACTTTGGAGCACTCATCATTAAAATATCCTAACCTTTTTTTTAACTTTTTTTAAATTATATAAATCGACTCTTCTATCTGAATAATCGGATGTATCAAAATTTGATTCAATATCAGCACAAATATCCTTATAAAAATTATCAGTTTTTATTGTATAGATGAATGAGTCTGTATCCATGTAATTTAAAATTACATTTTCTTGAAATTTGGGTTTCATGTATTGGTAATGAAAATAATACATTTTCCACTTTGATAAGTCTAATACAGCAAAACCCAAATAAATTGGCTTATCAAATACCACCTAAAATTTTTTTTCATTTGGATGTCATTGTACTCGTCATTTATTTAAGTTGCACTATGAAATTTGAATTTAGAAATTACATTTTTAGGACAATGTTTTTTCCGACCGACTTTATGAACATCTGTAGACTCCCATGTAGTTACCAATTTAACGTGTACACGTTTTTCAAGATTTTGCATAGTCCGAGTTGTTCGTTATTTAAAAAAATCATTATGTGTATCATGAAGGCGATAGGGGTAAATTCGGTCTACTTCCAAAAAATATCCATACTCACTATCAATCGACATTTTTTAAGTCATTAGGGGACAACCATTAAAACGCTTTATATGGAAGAGGTTGTGACATTGCCCAACCATATACAAATACATTAAAAGGGATGATTCCTTTGTTGGATCAAAATCTGTTAAGTATTTGTTATTTGCCTTTGTACATATCTATGGCAACATTGTACTAAGCCCTCTCAAATGCTATTTTGAATAAATCTATACATATCGATATCTACTAATAACTCTTGTTGAATATTTGTGGTCTTTAACATGGCTGCCCAAGATAGACCTGGTGTACTAAAAAACTGAGGGTCTAATGAATAAATTTGTAATCATATTTCTCTAAAATTTTCAAATATATCAGTCAATAGGAAAACATCAGTTTTTAAATACAACTTTAGATAATCCTTTAGACTTGAACAAGAAAATTGTGACCAGACATTATGTGCGTGTTCATAATCATCTTGAGAGCATTCTTTTCTGTCAAATTATTATAGAATGCTGCTTTTGATGGTAGGGAAGTTTCCTCAAGTTGACTAGCTGAATCTAAATATTCATAATGAATGATACCCTTTTTACGCATAAGCCTGAATTCTATTTCATTTTTAAAATATAATTTTCCTGAATTTAACTGATCATCAATTAGGTTAGAAGCAAGGGTATCTAAACTTGATGGCATAAATCTGAATGTGTCAAGAAATCGAATTTCAAAATTGTTTTCATTTGAAGTTTTTATGGTTTTGGACACCAAAATATATTGTTCTTTATTTACTGGGATTGCATTAATACTACCAGGAATTTTAGACAAGTCTTCAATAAATAAACAATCATACTTAGAAAAATTATGGAAAAAAACTGGTATAAATTTACATAGTCTATACTCCAAGTTACATTTAGAATGAGCTGCACCCTAAATAAACCTGTTAAATGGCAATGATCCCTAACTCTATCATTTAATAATATTTTTTTACAAATATGACAATTTAATGAATCCTGAAAATCAAACTCGTCTTCAGGAGTCATTATGATTGGTTTAATTTTACGCAAGTACTCATCGTTCAGTTTTGATAAATCTTGTACAAGAGAGATAACAAAATTTGATCCTGCGTTACTACCTGTTTTTATTACAAATTTATATAGCTTAGAATCAAAGGCACACTTAATATAATAAACATAAGCTATAGGTATATGAGAGCTTAAATTAAATAATTTCGGGCTTACTTCAATATTTCTCGGCTCCAGTACACATTCAAAGTCAGCGTACAAGACGAAAGGAACCTCAAGCTGCTTGCAGTATTGGGTAAACTCCAGAGTTCGATTGTGTAATTTCGGTAGCCTGGACTTTTCCGCTCCAAAAAGTTTTAGAGCATCCTCAGATCCAGAAAAATTCAAGCAAACATTACACAGCCATTGTGATGTGCTCTGAGACCCCTTTTGCCTTGTTAATATTCTATAAAACAATTAATTTTTATTTAGTATGTTTATTTATAAATAAATATATAAATATACATATATATATATAAATATGTATATATGTATACATATATATGATACATACCTTGAAATATTTTTAATGAACATATAATGTCCATTTCCGCCATCTTCCAAAAGCAGTACGTTAACGGGACATGGTTTCTCAATCTCCGATTGAAACAGCGGCCCAATTATTTCTTTTGTAATGGTAATTCTTCCTTTAAATCATTCCGAAATTTTCTTGATGCGTCCATCGACGGGTTAAATTGCATTCTTCTTATGCATTTCCGTGCGGACATGGTTTGTCCACTTGTTCTTAATAACAAATAATTGACACGAATGAAAAAACTCGAATTGGTTATTCATTATTAGTCCTTTTCATTTAATTTTTATTTTAAAAATATTTATTTGAGTTTATATTTTTGACGCACCTTCACTTCACTTTTACTTTTGTTGTTTCTTTTCAAAGTTCTTTTAAAAGTTCTGAAAGATGTTGCACGATAGAATGTTTTGGAAGAACTAACTGAATTCTCCGATTTATATACCCGTTACACGTTTATACCATCCCTTTGTCTTGAAGAC